TTTTTTGGTCTTTTTGAGACAGGGTCTCCCTGTAGCCCCAGCTGGCCTGGAACTCACTATGTAGACCAGGTTGGCCTTGAACTCACAGAGATCTGCCTGCCTCTGCCTCCTGAGTACTACCATGCCTACCATAATTTCTGACCCTTGAAATAATTAAGAATTAAAACAAAAAAGGATAGACTTTGTAATCAGCCAGATTCAGATTTAAATCCAGACATAGTATTTCCTGTGTGACCTCAGCAATGGAAATTCCTTTCATTGTTCATCCATACATATAATGCATATTTTTGAGTGCCTACTGTTGTTTTCTACTTGTCATTTTTTAATCATTTTCTGCAAAGCAATTGTTTTATTTTATTGACTTATTGTGTATCTCATACACAGTATCTTACTCTTCTTTATACCCCCTTTCCCATCAGCGCCCTCCCATAGCTCCTGCAATTGGATTTCATGCATTCTGTCATTTGTTAAGGCTTATCAAGTGTAGTATCCCTGACATCCTTCAGTGCACATTCATCCACTGGGGTCTACTGCCGATCTAGAGTCCCTCCCTTAACGAAGATCAGCTCTTCCTCACCCAGAAATAATCAGATGCCAATAGTTCTTCCAGTAAGGTTGGGGACAACTGCCTATTTCCACAGGTCTGTGCTGGGCTTTTGTCTGATTGTGTTTGCATGGGCCCTGTGCATGCTGATTCTATTGCTGTAGGTATATGAGCAAGGTCCCAGGAGCCTGTGGGACCATGTGGTCATGCACCTCCTCCTGTAGCTCTTAACAATTGTTCCACTCCCTCTTCTGCAATGGTCCCTGAGCTCTGGGTGGGTAAAGTTTAATATAGGAGACCTGTCCACAGACCCACACTCTACAGACTCTTATTTTCTACACTTTGGCCATTTGTTGCCCATTGTATTTATTACTCTCTGTTCCATGAGGTAGCTTCATTGATGAGAGCTGAAAGATGCATTGCTATTCTCTCTACTGCTTGTTGCACAAGGTTCCATAAGCCTGAGGTGTAGAGGTTCCATTGTAGGTGTGTCTGTCACTTAGGGTTGGGCATTTCACAGACACTTTATCTCTGTGTGTGACCAGTTGTGGAACTTTGTAAAGGTTTCTGTCTGTTGCAAAAGAAACTTCTTTGATGCCTGATGAGTGGCATGAGTGCCTACTCTTTTTACCAGACCGTCTGTTCAGTTATCATGAATAAAGTAGACAAGGTATTTTCCTGTATTGAATTTACTTTAGTCCAGATTCTATTCCATTTTGCTGGAGAGAAGGAGTCAATTCCTTAATGATTTATGAAAATGAAATAATAAGGTCCTAGAAAATGCCAAGTGTAGTGTTTGGAACATAGTAGCAAAAATGAAGATGCCAGAGGAAAATGGTAGGGATTGTGATGACTAAATACCTCCGTAATATAATTCAACCTGCTTTCTTTTCTGCAATAAGAAAAAAAAAACTTGTATTTTTCCCCTTAAATCGTTGTACTATTGTCTGTTCTCTCACAATAATCATTTATGCCTTTTGGTATCTCATTTTTATTCCTTAATAAGAACATAATAAGGAAAATTCAAGAACATTGTTTCATGTAAACCTCACAGTTTACTTTGTGAGTAGATATTATGTCTGCTTTTCATAAAAGAAATTGAAGTCAAATGATTTGTCAAGCTAAAGAGGAACAAGGATTCTTAATCTCTTTAATAACAAGCAGATTCTTAAAAATGATAGGGACAGATGTGTTGGTACATGCTTATAACCCTATTCATTGGGTACTCGCATTGTAGAGGCAGAAGGATAAGAAGTTCAAGACCAACCTGGGCTACGTTATCTATCTCAGGGGGAAAAAAAAAAAAATAAAAAGGCTAGTGGTACAGGAAGAAACAGGGTAGGAAAAAGGGAGCCATGACCAGAACAGGTTCTAAAACTGCTCTGCTAAGCTGCAGCCTCCCCTTTTCCAGTCACTTTCTGTACTTTTTTTTCCTTTTAAGTGACTATAGAATCTGTTAATGATTATGACTATTGTGGGCCTTTGTTAGATTACTGGTATGTTTGAATTTAATCTACTGTTACTGAAGGAGATTCTTAGAGGGAATCACATATAAATTTTCTCCTTTGACAATTTGTGTGTAATGTTTTTCCAGATTATTCTCACTTATGAGTTTTGCCTACAGTATGAAGTAACTTTAGTATTTGTTTTAATGATCAGTTGCACTGAGACTATTACAGTGCTAGGGATATAGATTACTGATAGAGTACCTGCCAAGCATGCTCAAGGTCCTGGGTTCAATCCATGATACTGAACAAAACCAAATATATATTGATCAGTGTTGAGATACTTAGTTCAGCATACTTTTGGAAAAAGAAGTAGATTGTTGTCTAATTGATTCTTGGGAAGTTTTGCTAAACATAGTATGCTAATTTTCTCATGTTGTGAGCTGAGCAACTTACAGGGAAGAAAGATTTTTTTTTTTTCAGCTCACAGTTTCAGTGGTTTCAGTCCATGGTTAGTTGATTCTGTTGTTTTTAGGCCTGTGGTAAAGGTATTGTGACAGGAAACTTGTGGTGAAGAAAAACTGTGCCACCTCATGGTGTCCAGGAAGGACACAACTCCAATAATCCTTATAAACTTGAAGGTTTCACCACCTTCCAGTAGTGCCAGCAGCTGGCCATCAAACTTGTACCACATAGACATTTTGGATCATTGAAAATTCAAAGCATGACAGATAGTAAACATTTCCTGAGGCCTTTTTGCACATAATGGTGCATTTGCATGGAGAATGTTGTTTTCCTTTTTGTATATTTATAATTGAATGAAGATAGTTATTAATATGCAGATGAATAGAAATCATAGCTGTATTCTAATTAAGAATATATTTATATTTTTATGTAACCAAGGTAATTATGCTTATTGATAGAGCTTTGAGTTAGGAAGCTAATTGAAAATTTTCTCTACAGAGACATGGTAGCTTTGGAGGCGATAGCCAGGGAATGAATTTTGATTTTGTGTCTTTTTTATATAATATACAGGGAGATTCCATTAGTTGTAAGGTGAGAGAATTATGTTTTGTAGACCATTGATTTCACTTACAGATAGTTTCAACTGGGCAAAGTAATTAAAGTTACTAGATTGTATTAATAATTGATTATATTCAGACTCCATTAAGAAGATCCTTTTTTTTTGGTCTTTTTGAGACAGGGTCTCCCTGTAGCCCCAGCTGTCCTGGAACTCACTAAGTAGACCAGGCTGGCCTTGAACTCACAGAGATCCACCTGACTCTGCCTCCTGAGTGCTGAAATTAAAGGCATGCGCCACCACACCTGGCAAGAAGATACTTTTTACCTGAAATGATAACTCATGAAGTGTTCCGCAGCTCAGATATTTAAGCAAATACTTGTTTAATTGGTATTTTAAAGATGAAAATCAAATTCACACTTTTTTCATGAACTTGAGTGTTACAGTTAACTTTTCCAAGAGCTTCAGGGTGGTGATAGTTGGTAATCCTGTGACGGTCGCATTTGTGAACACTTCATTACTGCAGGAGGTGGGGAGAAGTTACAGGGCTAAATCACAGTTTCACCCTTTTAGTTAAAACAGTTGAGTTGTGGGTGGACTTGAGAACATATCCCATTGCTTCTGTAGGAAATGTTTTTAGGGTTCTAAATAATTGGTTTAGTTTCTAAGTATGCTTTTAGGAGTGAAAGTTAAAAATTGCCTTAAAGCTGTTACTTCAAGATATCTATTCTGTGGAGTAATTTTCTTCATATTTTGTGTTATGATCATTGGGTGCTTAAAATTAGAAATCTATTTGTAGCCCAAATAATATTTATTAGTTTTCTATTCAACAAAACATTCTGTCTCCTACCGTGATAAAAAAAGGAATCTTTCCACAGATAATTTATGAAACAGATGGTCAGTGGACTGAAATATTTAAAGCATTTTGAGATTTGAATATGCGATTTACTTTATTCCACCTAATCTGCTTATTTTTCATTTCCAGTTTATCTAGCAATTATGATGCACAAATGAAGAGCCTTTTAAGGATTGTGAGAATATTTTGTCACGTCTTTCGAATTGGCCCTTCTTCTCCTAGTAATGGAATCGACATGGGCTATAATGGGAATAAAACTCCAAGAAGCCAAGTGTTCAAGGTCAGAAAAGTATGTTATTGTTAGGAAGATAGACATAAAAGCATGAATTGGTTATTCAAAACCTCAGGAACAGAATGTAAGTTTGGTTCATACCTTGTTACTTTTAAGTTGGTCACTTTTCCATTTCATCTCTGTCTAATAAAGATCAAAGTTTAATTGGTGAGTTTTCTGTATTTTTGTTTTTTTTAAACTCAGAGCTTGATTACATTAGTGCCTTTAAGAGGAGAGATATTTAGTTTTAAATGTGGTTTTATTGAATTGTAAGTTTGCTTTTGTGTGTGTGTGTGTATGTGTGTGTGTGTGTGTGTGTGTTGTTGGACCTACATGCCAGGCAAGCACTGCCGCCACTGAATCAATCCCCAGCTCACTTTTTAATTTTCATTTTGAAATAGGATCTCAGTAAGTTGCTCAGGCTGGCCTGTAACTCACTCTGTGTTCCAGGAAGGCCATCCTCCTGCCCCTTCTAAGTAGCTAGGTCTAGCTCAACAATAGGTTTTTTGTTTGTTTGTTTGATTTTTGAGATAAGGTTTCACTCTATAGCCCCAGCTGGATCTTCCAGAGATCTGCCTGTCTCTTCCTCGTGAGTGCTGGGATTAAAGTTGTGGCAATGTTAGGGTTTTTAAAAGATGGGGTTTTACTATGTAGCCTTAGTTGGCCTGTAACTCTCAGAGAACTGCTTGCTTCTGCTGGGATTAAAGGCATGAGCCGATATATATATATATATGTGTATATATATATTTTTTTGGTCTTTTTGAGACAGGGTCTTCCTGTAGCCCCAGCTGTCCTGGAACTCACTATGTAGACCAGGCTGCCTTGATCTCAGAGATCGCCTGCCTCTGCCTCCCAAGTGCTCGGATTACAGGCGTGTGCCACCACGCCTGGCATGAGCCCATATTTTTAATGCAATATGTTGCCATCATTAAAAATATGTCAGACTGGAAGATAAAATAACCAATTTTTGTTACATTTTATTGTGTGTGTATATGTGTGTGTTTGTGTATGTGCGTGCGTGTGTGTTTGTGCTTGTGCATGTACATGCGTGTGTGTGCTGTGTTTGTGTATATCCTTTATAAGAAAGGCTACGTTCACTTAATATTTACAATTCCTGGGATAGCTTTAAGGAAGAATCATTGAGATGTTTTTAAAAAATACTTTGTGTAAATTCAGTTGTCTTCTCTATATAAGCACATATGGATGTGCATATATATTGGAAGAATGATGCCATATAAAATGTCAAATTATAAATTTATAACTAAGATGAATATAGCTGTATTGCTGTTAATGTCTTTGTGACAAATTTTAAAATAGCCCATATTTTGGAAAAACTTGCATCATTTAATATCATTTCCATTTTTTTGTTGTTGTTACATGTTTATTTCTATGCTATGGATGCCAGGGCCCTGTGCATGGCAAGTGTTTTACCTCTGGGCCACACTGCAGGCCTTTCAAGTTACTTCTTAAGGATAATTTTTCTTAAGAGGTTTTCATACTATAAAATTGTTTTTGAGGTTCTTGAACCCAATTTTTGAAATAATCTCTAGATTATTTATCTAAGAATATAAATTTCATGACAAATACTTATAAATGATTTGTAAGCATTTTATATTTAAAAATCATTATTATTATCATTATTGTGATGTGTGTGTGTTTGATGGATGTGTCTGAGTGCAGATATGTGTGCCACAGAATGCTTGTTGAAGTTAAAGGACAACTTTTGGGAGTTGTTTTTCTTCTACTTGAGTTCTGTGAATCAAACTCAAGTTGTGCGAAATGCATGGGAAATACTTTACCTGCTGACCCATCTTGCCAGCTACATTATATTCTTTACTGCTAAGAATAGGTATGGTAGTTTTTAGAAAGATATGCATAAGTGCCAGTTTATATGCTGTTTCTTTTTGTAAATCAATATAGGAAAGATAGTTTTCAGCTGTACACGTTTTCTTTTTGCTTTTCTTTCCCTCTTGTGCCACCTTCTGGAGTGAGGAAGTCATGCATCTTTTGATTCAGACTGACTTTCCACATCCCACTTCCTTTAGTTAGGATTGACAGTTTAAGTAAAATTTCAGACCAAATTATTGATCTGCTCTTTTGTTAGTGCTATTTTAAGTGAGTTTTACTGCTCATAACACGTCGTATAAGTTGTTCTTAATATGTTCTGGCGTGACTCATTGTGTTAGGACTGAATTTGTCCCTTATTTTACTTCCTTTATTTTTATTTTTTATTTTTTAAAAATATTTTACTTGTAATATTTATGTGTATGAGTATATTGCCTGCATGTATGTAAGTGCACCCATGCCATGCAGTGTCAGAGGAGGTCAGAAGGTGTTGGATCTCTTGGAGCTGGAGTTACAGACGGTTGTCAGCCTCCACGTGGGTGCTGGAAACCAAACCCAGTTCCTCTGGAGGAGCAGCTAGTACTCTTAACAGAACTATCTCTCCAGTCACCTTATTTTACTTTCTACTCATCTGTAAAGATACACAGAAAATCATATTAGGTGTAGATTGTAGTCACTTATTTAGTATTGATAGATTTCTTTTTTTGTTGTTGTTGTTACAAATTGATTCTGTCTTGCTAATGGCCTCTCTGTAGGCATGTGATGTTTGATTTCATGATGGTTTTTCTACCTGTGTAGTCAGTACAGGTATAACTGTAGAAAAGACTGCCAAGACTATCAGTCCCCACCCCCCCCATTTGCAGTGTCTGGTCTTAAACCTAAGACCTCACACATGCTTGATGTTCTGCTGAACTGCATTTTTATCCTTTTTGTAATGGAATCTAGACTTTGTGTCTTATCATAGGTTTTCTTTTTTGCTGTACTGGGAATTGAACTCAGGGCCTCCTGCATCTTAGGCAAGAGCTCTACCACCAAGCTTTTTTCCCATTCATTCATTTTTAAGGTATTTCTGGTTTCATTGACAAGTGCTCTTGCCTTTGAGCACTTACTAGTTTCTCTCACATTTTGAAATTTTTCTTTTGGTAAATCATTTTATTTTAAACCTCGATTGAGCCCCTCTACCCCGTACCTATAGGTAGATATGGTAGCTAGGGAGGGGTTCAGAAGGCCCCACCCCTCTCTGAGTATCTACAGGCACTTATAGGTTGCTGGGGGAGGGAGATTTTCTTCAATGGTGTACTCATTGATAAGTAGCCCATATGCCGCCTGTAAATAATTCCTTACCCAGGACATTGTAAATAACCCTAATGAAACCTATTGGGTCATCAAAAAAGAAGAGGACATAAAAGTAGAAGCACTGAGAAGAGGAAAGGGATAAGTGAGTCAGTGGGAAGGAGATGACAGGAGGTAGTGGAGTGACTTTGATAAAAATATATGTATATATGGAAATAGTACAAAACCCATTATTATGCCTAAACAGCATATGCTAATAAAATTTTTAAAAATTGGGGGTGAGCCACTGGGTGTGGTGGTACATGGGTACATGTCCTTAATTACAGCACTTAGGAGCCAGAGGCAGGCAGATCTCTATGAGATCCAGGCCTACCTGGTCTACATAGTGAGTTCCAGGCCAGTTAGGGCTACAGGGAGACCCTGTCTGAAAAACAAATAAAAATATTGTGAGGAATATAAGCAAAATACAGTGTTATTCATGTATGAAACGTCATAATAAAACCCACTATTTTACATGTTGACTAAAAAAATTAAATGCTACAAAAATTAAGTATAAACTGTTAAAATTTTATTAGTCTCTTTCTAGTATTATGAAGTAAATGTGGCATCTTTGAGTCATGGGGAAATGATGTGATCTATAATGATAGAAGTAGAAACTGTACATTACCACCCGTACATGTAATGTGTTTTCCATTAGGAATGAGTGGGTTTATAAGCCAGGTGTTTTTAGCAGGTGCAATTGTTTTAACATCTTATTAGCTACCTGATTTATTTTAGAAGTTAAGTTATTTTTAGCACTCAACCATTCTTTTAGTGTTAAGATTTTTTTTTTTAAATCTTGTGCCTTGTAACTTTGGAATATTCGAGGGAGAACATTGTTTTTATTATTGGTCTAGGGAGCATGGAGTAGACAATTTGGACTTCTCAAGTGTTGATGTGTGCTTGTTTTCTTCATATGACTAGTAAGTTGAGACGATTAGTAGTTTCACAGAACTGTAATTTGGAAAAAAACGGAAGCCAAGAAAACGTTGAGAAATTGAAAGGTCTTTTTTGGCTGTGGCATTTGTTATTAGCAAATTAAGAATTTCAAGGTATTAACAATATTAGTGAGCTTAAGTTAGCAGTGAATGCTTTCATGTCAAATTTCTGTTTTCCTTAAGCATATCTTGAAATTTTAAAAAGTTGTTCAGTAAGTTTGGGGTTATGCATGTATCATATATAATTGTTTGTAAATCATGTATGAGTGTGTCACATCACTATTGCTCTATGTATAAGTATAATTTTGTGGTGATAATCACTCAGTAATATGAAATGAAGCAGTATTTTTACCTTGGCAGGGAACCTGCTAAGATTTCCCATTGTCACTGGCTCATTGTCTCAGTAACAGTTGGTCTGTCTAATGCTTTGTTTTCTATCACATCTTTGTTACTCTTAAATATTGAAAGCATCACAGTGTTGACATGCACTAGTTTGCTGATATGAAAAGGTTTTTTTTTTTTTTAAATCCACAACAGGTTTGTTTTGTTTATGAAAAGAAACAGCTTAAAATTGGATTATGATTAGAATTTTAAGAAATTTTCCATGATAGTGTTGATGTTGTCGTTTTTGGCAGCTGGTTCTTTAAGTGGCAGGGATTCCAAATCTTTCCACTTGTCAGGGCTTACTTCTGGGTGAGAGAGGTACTCATTTCAAATGGAATACTCTGTGCTTTCTTGCCTACTTTGAATATACTATTTGTTGAGTCAGTAAAGTAGGTTTTTGTGCAGTGTAGTTGTGATATTTTTATTTTTGCTTTTTGGTTTAATGTGTAAATAAATAGGGATGAATTAGTTATTTGAAAATTCAGCAAGTACTGTATTCTCAGATTTATA